AAGGTAGTTTACTTTCAGCCATTAAGAAAAAAATATTAGGATCAAAAACTTGAATAATTTTCAAGACCCAGCTCTAGTGCCAATTGTTAGAAATACAGGTTGAGATCAAGAGGGGGTGAATTGATCTAATAAAAAACTTTTCGCAACTTTTGATTACAAATTATAAATTTCAAAGATTTAAGAACTCAATCATTATTTGAACAAAAATAACAGTAATCTTGAAAGAAAGAAAGAAAGAAAGAAAGAAAGAGATGAAAGAAGAATAAGAACACCAAGTTTATACTGGTTCACCCAATCAACTGGGCTACATCCAGTTCTTAACCAAATTTCAGTTGAGTTCCATTAATCAAATACTAATTGATTACAAGAACAGATTATAGAAAATCAATCTACACCAAGAAATAGAACCTAGTTCTTGAAACTATGACAACAACCACAATTCCAATTGCTTAATCCAGTGCCCACAATTCTAGACACCGAAAATACAAGGAGACGAATGAAGAATTTAGATGATTGAAGAAACTACAATAATCAAATCAATATGTAGATGCAAAGATCCAATCACGGAATGAATTTCCTCAAAAACAAGAACACACCTCAAGAAAAATTTCAAAAGAATTCTAATGATTGAAATGCATTTCTCTCTTGGAAAAGATCTCTAAAGATTGCTTGAATGATTTCTCAAATATGTGTATTAAAACGTAGGTGAAAATCTGTTTATATAGAGATTTTTCTAATTGACTGACATGATTAATCAATCAATTCACACTTTAATAGATTAAAACAACTTAGCTTAAATGAATTTAACTGATAAAAATGTTTTTTAATTGATTAAAAAGGTTCTACCAAATTTTCCAACCTGATGAAAATGTGGTTTAATCGATTAAAAAAATTATGGATATTTTCCAGAGACATTTTAACCGATGAAAATGAGGTTTAATCGATTAAAATAATTCTGGATATTTTTCGAGGTGTTTTAACCGATAAAAACGAGGTTTAATTGAATAAAATTGTAAAACAAATTTGTTAAGTGTTTTTAATCAATTATTTCGAAGATATATCAATTAAAACTCTGATAGAAAGTATTCTAAAGTTTCTTAAGTGAATTTAATCGATTATTTCAAAAATGTATCGATTAAAACTGCGACAGAAAGTGTTCTCAAGTTGTTTAAGTGATTTTAATCGATTATTTAAAAAATATAGCAATTAAAATTGCAACAGAAAGTGTTCTCAAGTTTCTTAAGTTATTTTAGTCGATTATTATAAAAATGTATCAATTAAAATAGCGACTAAAGAACATATTAATTGATTAAAATGATTTTTAACATATTAAAAATACTTGAGGTCCTTTATACTTTGTAAAATAAGGAAACTCACACTTGAGAAGAGGATAGATGCTTATACCTACATAATGTAGATGCAAACACACTATAATGAACTAACATAACATCTTCCTTTGACTTCATCAAATCTTCTAACAAGTCTTCCAAGATTCTTCTTATTAGCTTCTTCATCAGTAAACCATGTAAAAATATTTTTTGTTAAATAATTGAGAAAATATTTCACTATCAAGTTCTCATTTGCTAAAACATTTCCACATTCAATTTGATATTGAGTAACATGTTCTACTGTGCACTCTCCAATATCACTAGAAAACTTTGTAAATTTTGGTACTTTCAGTCCTTAAGGAAGTTCATCGAGGCACCAAATCAAGAAAGAGTGAAATGAAATAAGGTTGATTGTACAACCTGATTCCCACATCTTGTTGATCGTTCCATTGTCCCATGACATGATTATATGTGTTATTTTTATTATACATGTTATTCATCATATTTCCTTCAAAATCATTATTCCTCCTCACATTATTTCGCATTCGTAACACTTGGTCAGCATTTTGACCTCTCCTAACCATCTAAATGTTTCTCATTTGATTTAGATTTTTCTGAATATTTTGAAAGTTATTTTGTCCTCGATTTTATTTCAATTATTTTGCATTTGGAAACCATTATTCTCTAAGTTCTCTCTTCTAAGAATAGTTAACGCATCCCCTATTCTAACCATTTGGTCTGCTAACCTATGAAAAATATCAGTTGTAGTTTGCACCAAAGGATTTAAGATTATCGTCATCTGTTCTGACAACAAATTCACCATCTTGTGGTTACTATCATCCAGTTATTATCTTATCACTTCCAAAGAACTATTTGATAATTTCGTACTTATATTCTCAAAAATCAATATTATTTATTCCAAATTCCTTATCAACTCCCAATCGTATTTGATTTTGACTACAATCATTCATTCTACTTGAATTCAGAGTTGGTTGTTATTGAGGCATACTCCAAGGATATCTCTTGGCTATTGGTACCCCTTTTGATTATTTTGTTGCACGGATGAACTAGTCTAATTCATATTATTTCCTCCTAAATTTGTAAAAGGTCTATTCATAGTCGTATGGGGTCCAACGTAAGTAGTTATTGGATTACTCTTTGTTTACATTTCTCACATTCCTTTACTACCTTTAACATTTTGTTCAATCATATTTCCCTAATCATCACTCACTGGATTATTGACCATATTCCTAATACTAACATCTTATCTTTCATTACTTTGATTCATACTAATATGTGTTGCACTGGATACCAACGAAGAACTAAGTATAGAATTTTGTGTGTTTTAACTTAACATGATAATCTTACCACTTATCAATCTCATACACTGTCTTCATGCAAATTCTCTACAACTAATCAAATTTGGATTGTCCCACTAGGTGTTAGAGATGACAAAATAGGTTAGTCCGTTCCGTTTTGGCTTGTCCCACCTCTGGCCTGCCAAAAATGGGGCGGGACAGGCTATAGTTAGGACAGATTACAGACCCCAACTCACCTTGCTAAAGGGCAAACTAACTAGTCGACCCATTAATAATTTTTTTTATATATAAATATTTTTATATGTATTTGTTAAAACAATATATCTTTAATTATATGAATAATTTTTAAGCTTTTATTTATAAATTAATATTTTTATTAGATAAATTAAAAAAAATTTATATTTATGTATCAAAATAACTAATTATAATCAATAATTTAAATTTAATTAATTAATTTTTATAATTTAAATTATAATATTTACATATTTACATATTTCAATATCGTAACACAAAAAATATAATATTTTTAATTATAATTTTTTATTTTAATATATAAATTTTTTTAAAGTAAGCCAACAGGATAGTCCGCCCTACCGCGTTCTTGAGTCGTCGAGTTGGTAGACAAGGCGGGGTGGGCCAAAACGGATTGGTAGGCTAAAATTATCAATCCACCTTACCATTTTTTAAGCGAGTCGGCCTGTCAGTCATAGTCCGTTTTGTCATCTTTACTAGGCGTGCTAATTTGTTTCATACGTAAATTGGTTCGACAATTTCCCTTAGTTGTTCAATTTTTCAAACGTGCCACTTTTACCAGGATGACTTAATTTTCTAAGATAAACCATAATTTTCTAAGATAAACCATTTCATCATTTGTAGGTTCATTTTGTCTAGACTAGTAAGTAAAAAAAAAATCAATTTAGAGAATTTTTCAATTAAATTTTGACCATAATCACACTTATCATTTCAATAATTAATATGATGCCAACTTCTATTAGGATCTTTCTCATATTAATTTGATTTTGAATATTAGTTCAAACATTAAAGTGCAAGAAAAGTAAATGTGTGATAATAGTAAATGTGGGATAAGATAAATGTGCGAGAAATGTAAATTACAAAACCCAATAAAAGTGGTGTTCTAAATTGCCAAGAATTCCATTAAAACAATTTTTTTCTTGTCTGCTACTTCTTTTTAGAATGCTAGTGTCTTACTACAATTTGTCACCTTAATTACACTTAATTAATCCTATTTATTCTTTACTTTGCATAACTGCTAGGAAATAAAATAAAATATAAAATAAAAACAGTGTCCCTCCCTATCAACAGTTTCTTCCTCTTTTCTCGAGTGGTTCTAACATTCCATGTAGCAGTTTTAACCATCCATGTCACATCATGGAGTTATAACTGTCTTTACCACATTATGAAGTTATAAACATTTTTACATACTTTTCGATTTTATAACTCCTTTTTGACATCTCCCTTGTCTTTCTTCGATTTCTTCTAAGTCTTCCATTTAACGTTTTTTGTCTTTCTCTCAATTTCTCCTTCAATCATTATGAATTTTCAATTCTTTTATTCTTTGATTTTCCCTCATCATCTTGAATTTTCTCAATTTTCCTTTTGATCATTATGAATCCTCGATTATCTTATTCTTCGATTCTCCATTACCACCTCGTTTTTGTCTCGATTTCTCTTTCGATCATTATGAACTTTTAATTATCTAATTTTTCGATTTACATTTTCGATCACTTATTTTTCTTGATCTCAATTTTGATTGACTTATCGATTTCTTACATTCTCGATTTTTTGAACCTTCTCGATTTTTATCTTCAATCTCGATTTTCACCTTCTTAATCTTTATCATTTCGATTTCAATTTATACCTCTCAATCTTTATGATTTCAATTTCAATTTTTTTCTTTAACTTCAATTTATTTATTTTTTTGCTCATTCTTTTGATGTATTTTTAAATTTGCCAATAACACATTGTTTTGAACATATTTGTTAGGAAAATTTATCTAATTCGAAAACGATTTCATATCAATCCAACATATGTTTTAGCCAATTGACAAGTGAATGGGTTTGGACGGAGCATTTTATTTTACATGAAACACCCCCTGTTTTGGTAAACGCTGACACAATGCAAAATGCAAAATTAATAGCACAACACTAATGTCAATTCCAATAGTCCACCATTATAGGAAAGATAATCTTATAATATTGGTTGTGGTTCAGTTGCTATCCACTGTGCAATAACATCCTGCTACGTCTTCCTCGTAACCACAAACATAATCATAGTAAAAACAGACCAAAGGGGTACCACAAACATGCTAATTTTATTGCCATTTGCTAAAAAGAGGGATTCATCCTTCACATGGAACTGTCAAAACACTCCACCCAAGTCAACAGCAAGAAAAGGAATTTGGGGTCAAAAAGCCTGCGTGGGTCATGAAGTGTTGACAGCAGGGGCAAATCCAGGATCATGGGCTAATGGCAACAAATTTTCTATTTCTTTTTATGAAATATTGTGGTCTTAAAATCACAAAGGTGGAAGGAATAAATTGTTAAATTTATTTCTCCTTCCATTTCTTTTGAGTGTCCTTTATTTAATATTCTTATGGAGAAATCAAGAAATGCAATAAATTCTGTTGATTTTAGTAAAATATTTGTATAATTTTGTATTTTATCTTTTTTATTTCTACATTATAATAAATACATACATGAAAATTAATTAAAGATTAGATGAATGGTAAGATGTTTTAATAGAAACAAAAATGAATATCAACTATATTTAGTTTCTGTTATATCCAAGAAAGAGGGTACACTTTTACCTATGCTCGAATCTTCTTAGGATAGCTTATGATTAACACTGATTTCATGGCCATTTTCTAAGAAAACTACCACCGTAATGATGTTATGTATAGAACAAGTTAATGATAAAATCATGACGATTCTGGGACACAGTAATCTGCAACATGTCACGGAAGCAATCAGAATAAAGTATGTCAGTAAGCTGTACCCCAAAAAATGCCCCACTTAATACTTTATCATATTAAGGTAAACGAGTAAAGACAACATTTGATGGAGATATATTCTGATTTAGTTTCAAGAACCATTCTTCCGACCCATTATAACCCAAATTCAGCTCATTCAATCTTGTTTTTCACCCCAAAATAATCACGTTCAATGAAAAGCCCTCTGCTTGTCTGTTCATAAAACGTGTATGTTTGACAAAGACATGCTCATAATTATAAATCACGAAACCTAGTTTTATAAAGAAAAAGGACCATCAAAGACAAATGGTATATTACCATATACAATTTTATTTTCCTCAGTCATGATCTCCTAACATGACAATACGAGAATGTTGTATATTTTACATTTAAGTGCAAATTCCTTTGTATTTTTGAATGTACCAAAATAGTACATGATAACTGTCCTTACACAATTCCTTTTCGAATATAATGAACTTTAAAGAAGAAACCTGAGCATTTCATCACAACATCGACCAAAAGGAGAAAGCTAAAGCTTTCAAGTGTACACACGCACAAGCTTTAACGTTAGTTTCTCAAATCCAATGGATGCTTCCGGGTTCCAAAGCAAGAAGTGTCGAGGCAGTTCAGGCATGAATGTTGTTATGAGATTTCAAGCAGACAAAAAAGCAGTAAACACTCTAAAATATACGTTGCCGAAGATGCCAAACAAATAATAACACTAAGAACCTCAAGTCCTGAGAGTATAATGCATTTGAATTCCTCAAAAGCAATTTACAAAAATAAAGCACCAAAACCCAGCCCTCCAGCATCAAATCAAGGGCCAGAAGCTCCTGAAGACCCAGCAGCATCCTCTAATCTTAATGTTATTGGTACGTCTTCAATCCCTTTACCCTTATCTGTTGAGCCTTCCACAGCCTTGTTCAACCTTTTCAACCATATATCATAGTCAACAGGGTATGGAGTTCCACAAAGGCTATCCACATAATCAGCAAATGCTTTCAAGAGAGCAGAAACTTGACCAATATGCTGCTGAATCAAACGCTTTGCCCAGCTTCTCTCTCTCCACTGTAAAGCAGATTCAATAGAATCTTGTAGAGACATAGTCCCTCCACAAATAAAATAGAGGATATAGACAATGCTTTCAGCATCAGAAGAGGGACACAGCTTCCCATGCTGAAGGGCATGAGATGATGAGAATTGCAAATTTATGGCAGGGCTGTCCCTATCTTCCAACACGGCACGCCCCCAAGATATGGGAACATACATGCTAGCTTGGTTTCTAACACCTTGTTTTTCAACAACGCGTATAATGTTCTCGGGACAAATATCACCATGCTGGACATTAGCCATGGCTGCACTTCTTAGAGCAGCTAGACAGTCCCGGCACAAGCGTGTTGCTTCATCTGCAGAAAATGACCCCTCATTAGCCGCTACAGATGATAGTGGCTCCCCTATCGGAGATGTCACCAGTATTGGGGTCCCGCACCAAGGGTGATCACACCTTCCCCCAGGGCTCTCTTTATTGCAAGGTCCAGAATGTAAAATCCTACCAGAGGCAACAATTTCAGGTAAGTATTTGCTCAAGATTCCCTGATTCCTCAAAATGTTTAGAACTTTTGTTTGGCGTTGCACTTGGTACCAGAGGCTCATATCCTCCAAAGAAGGTTCAAGTCTAGATGGGTGAGCACCCACATATAAAGTCAATAACTGTGAGGGATGATCAAGACAAACTGCACTGTAGAGATAATAGTTCCCTCCTACAAGAGATTCATGAATTTGGAAGCTTTTCTGTCCCTGCTGTGGATCATCCAAGACCAATATGTCTCCACACCTGAGCTTCAAACGTGATGCTTGGCTATTGGAAAATGGTTCATTTTGATCAAACTCAACAATCTCTCCAGCTTGATAGTCAGTAGTCGCGTGATAAGGAACCAGTGCATTTTCAGTGTCAATGATGCAGCATTCTGTCCTCCGTTTTTGAAGGCGGAGGCTATGATCTGAAATCAATGAGGCTACTGATTTCCGGGGTGGTCCATTCCATTGTGCAATGGAGTAGAAAGTTGCCAAAAGTACCTGAAGAGTTCCTATATCCCCCCAGTTTGGATTTCCTAATCGGTTCCATATTGGTTCCACTGGGGTGATGCCAATTTCAGCATAAGTTTTGATCCATTCAGCTACAGATAAATATGGATCGCTTGAATTCAATAAATCCAGTTTGCCAAGGTCACTACTAAACTTCATCACTGCTCCACATTTGGAATCTAGAACTAGAAGGAAAACAGAGTCACTGTTGATAGAACTAATCTTGCTCAAACTCCGAGAAACAAGAATATGGAACCCATAAAAGAGAGCTTCACAAATAGTGCTGACTGGTAGTCTTGAATTGTCCAAGAATACTTCTGGCTTGAATAAGGCAAACTCTACCATATGATCCCATTTAAATCTTGAATCAGTGACAGTTTTTGATATTAAAGCCAAACCACGCATTTCCCTCAGCCTGCCCCTTGATATGGCCTTTTCAACACTACTTAACTTTGAACCAATATGAGAGGGGCAAGAGACACATAATGGCAGTGGTCCGCTTTTATGCCAAAATGTACGCCAAAGTCCAATGATAATGGCATGAAGGAAATCTTCTGCAGCTAAATACTGATCTTCTATAAGCTCATCAGAAATGTTAGAGAAGATTGGCATTCGGACGAGTTGCTGAAATGGAACCCCCTCTAATGCCAAATCAAGTTTGCACAATTCATCAGTTGTGAAAGGAGATCGAAAACTTTGCATCCCATCTGCTGAATCACCATTTAGATTCTCCAAGACCCACTCCTCAAGATATTGAGTGAATAATTCCAGGTCAACCAGTTTCCTTCCATATTCCTTGAGCCCTTTGAACACTCTTCTGGAAATATTGCTCAATCCTGAGGTCCCAGAGACAGTACTAGCAGAAATAACTGCCATATAAAAACCATGTTATACTCATAAAATATAGTAACAACTGTGTTTTATTAACAGATAGGGGGAACTGACTACCCACTTTTTTACTTAGCTCTTCTAAACGGGAAAACATGATAAATGCTAAAAGGACTAGACAGAGCCAAACCAGAAAATACATCGCATGGCTCCAGAATGATACTACTAACATTAGATGCATTACACGGTGTAAAAACACTAGGATAATAGCACTAGTCGTATTTGAGGATATGTACTATTGCCATACCCATTTGTTAATAGTGTTCAACCAGACACTTCATTATTCTATTGAACTTTACAATCTAATTAGGCATCGCTGTCCCTCGTATGATTTCTTAAACATTAATAGGTCTCTAAGGCAACATTAAAAAAGGTGAGAGGTTAAAGCATGAGAAAGTCAGTAAATATCCCCGATTATAGAGAAGGAAGAAACAAAGGAAGAGAAATACAAACCTGAGCTCGACTTCCTGAAACTTCCATCCAGACTTTTCCCAGGAGATAAATCCGATCCATTTTGCAGAAATCCTGATTCACATAATTAATACACAGTTAAGCATTAGATAAATCTATATATACATATATGTCGTAATTAAATAAAATCATTTAGCATTTCCATTGATGTAAACAAGTGTGTAATCCCTATTAACATTCTGCAGTGTCTCAATTACAATAAAAATAAAAACTTGCATTTGAGAACACTCAGTATTAGTACTAGCGCTTCAATTCTTGAGGCATTAGATTGATGAATCATTTTCACTGATACTACTTAAAAAGGAATAAAGCACACATACACACGTAAAAACATTAGAATGATTAATTTTATGCCTGTAGTGTAGAAGAAGCAAAATGTACAAGCCTTCAAGGCTCAAGACACATTTTCTCTTCAAATAAATGCAGTTATATTTTCTTTTTCCTTTTCTCTTGCTGGTTTCATTTCTCTCCTCTCTCAACTAATTTATTTATTTTCATTAATTTGATACAAAAGAGAAAAGTAAGGTTGCACCAGCAATTTCAGAACAATAAATATTTCTTTTAGTTTTAAAATTTATGAACTGTTTTGCCAGTGGAATGAAAATGTCACATTATTCAAATGCCAGGTATATAAAAGAGAACAAAATGAGGCTCTGATTAGTCACATGATTAGCAGAAACTTGGTCCCATTGGTTACAAAGAAATGAAATTGTTTTTAGTGTTGTTGCTTTTGATCCTATTTCTTGTATTGATGGTATTAGTTTCAATTCTTGTGGAAACAATACTCTACTGACTATTTTATTACTTGATACGACCAGTTTACTACCCTTAATTGAAGAAAAATCTTAATTTTTCTACAATCTCCACAACTAGTATTAGGTACAATACATACTCAGTGGTAAAACCTACAATATATCATCCAGCAGCAACTGGTGACTTAATGACAGTGCTGCAATCAGATTGTTTAGTATATGAAAAGATAAATCAAGTTCATCTTCAGTTCACTGAAATTATTTTTCACAAGACCAACCACAGATTCTGTAGCTTAAGTACACATCACACAATCTCTATTCCCTTATGTATATGGCAAATACATACATGCAGGAGTACTTTTCCATTCATTAGGAGCCATTTTTACAGAGTAAGACACCGGATTTACCTTTTTATATTATTGTCAATTGTAATCTTTCTTTTTTTATTAGTTCCTAATTCACATACATTCCAAAATATTCATCACTCAACAACGTTATCCGATAAAAACAAGCAAAAGGGTAAAATTTCCACACTGTCGTTGTAGAATGAAAAGCCAGGAAGTTGTCATAAGAACACCATAAGACATGTGAAGCGTTGAGAAACAAAACATATCAGATAAGTCACACAAAAAAACCATGAGCATGCTTCCATTCCAGCTTCAAACTAGTGCGGATTATCAAAACCATCACAAAATTTTACAATGCAAGTTGCATTTGGAAGACCCGTCAACCTTGAGAGAATAATACACAACGAAATCACAAACACGATTACTTAAACTCGTCAACAAAGAAGGGAAAGAGAATACACACTAAACAAACCCCACGGAACATTCAAAATAAAAAGGCATACAAACTAAGAAGAAAGTGAAAGTCACCTAATTGCATCGCGACCCAAAAGCAGAAAACTCTCACGGACAAGATTCCAAGATATCCTTAAACCTGGAAGCCCACATTGCCCAACCCACAAGTGGCAGTCACTGTGGAGAGTGACAGGCAGGTACATTGAAGCAATAAGGTAAACAACAACAGCAACAATAACATGGGACGACACCGAAAGTGAAAACGACCAACGTGGTGGTAGATCTCAACAAGGCATTATTGGTGACGCGGGAAAACAACACGCAAGGTGTCATCTTGTTGTAAAAAGGCGAATGAAACAAGACACCCAGATGCTGTTTCTCTTCTCTTGTGGGGAAGGGTAGAAGAAAAAAGGGAAAGTTTTCTTTTGGGCGTTGTGGTTAGATAGTTACAAGCTGGGAACATGAGACACTGTTATGGAAGCAGACATTGCAGGAGTAAGAAGAGAAAGGAGGGGAGAGGAAGAAAGGTGAAAAAAACACGAAGGCAGCAGCAGCAGCATTAGGAGGGACAGGATGGGAAGCTGTAAATAAAAAAGCTGCGGAAAACCCAATGACCCTGTCTTCGACCCATAGGCCATAGCTCTCTTTCTTGGCAGTTGGTCCCATTGATAATGATGTCTCACATTTTCACAATTTTCTTCATCCACCTTCCAATCCCCACGCGCGTCGCTTCCAAACTCCTTTCATTCTAACAAACCATTTGTCTCTTCACTCTTGTCTTAACTCACTCTTAATTTTATCTTCAAACATTCTAAGAATATCTCTTTTTAACCAAGATTTTAACTTTATGACAAAAGTCTTCTAAAACAACACTCATTCAAACATACATTGGCATAAGATAGTGAGAGTTTTTAATTTAATAATCCAATCTTATAAAAATTTTGAGTCTTAAAAAAATTAATATCAATAATTATACATTAGAATTCTTCAAACATTTATATTTTATATTTAAGATTTTATTATTGAAACAAACTTTTAACAGTTATTTATAATGTATTAAAAGTATAATTAGACGTATATAAGAGTTTATTATTACGTATGGTAGTTTTTTCTTTCTACAATGATTCTGTTTCAAATATTTAACAAAAAATAATAATGAATGTTCTGGTTCTCCAGTTAAGCATAAACTTTATTTTTTTTCTTTTTTTATTTATCTTCAAGTTAATTATTTTATTTCTATCAGAGTAACGCATTTATTGAAAATGCATAGTATAAATATTTCAAAAAGTTATATATTTGGTATGAAAAAAACCTTGAACTCAATAACTAGGAAACAGAGAAAGTAATGATTTTTATCTCTTAAATTTGAGGGGAAAAAACGAACAAAATACATTTTAACACGATCTAATAATACTCTTTGTTATTGACTGAAGTTCATTTAAAATAATAAAATTCGGTGAGTTATATTCTCATTTTATTAGTTTCTTTTTTAATGACGTAGTTTTTAATAAATTTTAATCAATAATAAAAATATGTTAGACTCCTCTAAATTTGAATTGAGTAAATTGAAACTATTATTAGTAATTTTAACTAGTCTATAATAGTTTTTTTTTTCATATTATTCCATCTTCACAGGGAAAAAAACATTGTTTTTGTTGTTATTTATTGCTATCATAAAAAATATTAATTTCATTAATCACAATTAAATTGATATCATTATAATTTTACGTTGAAACGTACCACAAACAATGCATAGGACAACAGTTTTGTCAGATTCCAACTCTTGTGTTGTACGTTATTTGTTAGTCTTAATTATATTTTAGTTTTCACACATCCAATTATATAACTTTTATTTCTCATATATTTTTTAATCAAGTAGTACGATTGCATTAAATATTTAAGGTTCTGATTTTTCAAGATGAAAGTACATTGTCTAAGTCATTTATTACTATCATTAAAAATTATTGAATATTATTTACAAATATCATGATTTTTGACAAATAAAATTATATTCTTAAAGTACATTTTTTAAGTTATATAGTTGAAATATCATGTGTTTTTAATTAGTATATTAATTACTCCATCAGTTTATAAATTATAGTTGCTTTAGTTTTGTTTCAAAATTATAGTCGTTTTATAAATTTAAAATAATTTTTTTCTCAGTTACACTCTTACTTTGAAGAGAAAATTAAGAAAAAAAATATTTTTCTATAAAATTAAAAATTTTGTTAAAAAAAATATAAAAATAAATAAATTATTACATTCATATATTATCTTTTAAATTATAAAAACTTTTTTTCATAAAAGATATTTTTAAATTCAAATTGAATATTAAGGATTTGTTTGTTTATTATTTTTAAGAATAATTTTAAATTTTTTTAAATCTTACAAATTAAAAAACTTATTTGGTATTTTTTTTAATTTAAAATTTAAAATTGATAAAACAAAATTATATTACAGTTTTTTATTCTATTAATGAGTATCAATGTTTTACTTAATAATAATATTACAATTTTTCTTAATATAAAATTATTAAAATATTTTTTAAAATTTTCATCATGACGTTATTTATATAATTTTTTTAAAATATTTTTCAAAACAAACAATTTTTTTATTTTTTTTAACTAAAAAATTAAATTAAATCAAACCACCCCTAACTTGTATTTGTTACAATTGATTTGTTGTGACTGAAGATGGAAATTGGGGTAAACTTGTTTTCTATTTATCTTCTCTCAACAATTAAAGCACTAAATTTTGTTTTATTTTTCTCAAGATTTTATATTTTTATCATGGTTTTTTCGCTTTTCTAAATCAAACAAGGTCATGACAAAATTTTATTTATTGAGAATCAAAAGTAAACCTTATTTTAAGCGAATCCAAGAGCCACTAAGCACTTTTAATATTGATGATTTTGAATCAAGTTAAAACATTTTGCTTATAATTAGTTTATAATTTTCCATAATCAGAATTTTCTGAAGCAGCTAACATGTGAATAAGTAACGTATTAAAGTAAAGTCCACATGAACTTTTTTTTTTTAATTTAAAACATAAGTAATTAGTCACGCTCGCACTTGACTTTAAGAAAAGAAGTACAAGAAACAGAACTGAAAAGTGCGGTGTGGCACAGTCGCTCCCATGGAGCGTGAGTGTTCATCATAATTTGCTGTCATGTTTTCCCGACACTTTTCCATGAATTTTATAATCACCCCTCCTCGTTGTCCAACTGTTCATTTCTGGGGACAATGTATATTTTGTTCCTAAATAAACTCGTATCATTCTTTTAACTATATATATAAAAGAGGAAAAACATTAATATTAAAATAATCAATATAAATTCGGATTCTCTTTTTAGAATTTACTCATACCTTCTTAATCTGGTTGAAACTTATGTTTGTTTTGGTAAGTTTATTAGTTTTATATCACAATAATTTATATATTTTTTATTTTTTTAATTTATTAATATACTTTTTAAAAATAAAATTAAGACAAATTATAATTTTAAAATAAATAATATCTTAAATATAAAATTGACTTTATCAATATTATTATAATTGATGAGATTTACTTATTTCTAAATATAACATATAATATTAATATTTGTTTTTTGTCTTATTATTAATTTTTATTTCATCTAAATTAATATTTTCCATGATAATTATGTGTTAATTTTTATAAGATGAGTATATTTGTATTTGAATTGAAAAATTGAATTTGAAAGAGTGAAGTAAAATAGAATTGTTTAGATGAAAGGAAAATAATAAAAAGTTAAAAAATAATGAAAAGATTAATTTGATTTATTAAATTTGTATTTTATTAATTTGAAATAAATTGTTTATTATTATAATATTTGTATTTAATTATTTATTATTAGAATAATTTAAAAACAAAAGTATAATATTTTAAAAAAATTAAGATTATGTAAAAAAAACTCCATTCATTATATTTTTATCCTTCTTCTTTTTTTCTTTCTTCTTACGAAGGAAAAAAATATTTTTTCAACCCCTAAATTTTCGGACTTTGCTAGGGAAGTTATCCTTTTCCTACTAATGTGAGACGAAATAAAAAAAATTATTTATTTTAGTTTTCTTCCATTAAAAAAAATTTAAAAAGTAAATTTAAATAGATGTATGATATTGGAAAGGAAGAGCCTAGAAAATTTCTAGCATAATGAGTCCAAATACATTGACATGGATGGGCTGTCTTTTGTTTTGATTGAAGTGATTAGTTAGGGAAGAATGATTGGAATGTGTTGATTTAGAAGAGCTCCAAAACACTAATTATATTTATGTGAATGTGTGAGGGTTTGAATGCATAAAGTAATTATGAGGGAATGTGCACTCAGTGATATTCATTACTACTATTGCACGTTGGCATTATATTGTCTCTCTCTTGAAGCAATCTTCAATCATTTTATTTTGTGTTTTGGGAAGAATGATGACATATTTCACCAAGCAATCTATAAAATATTACCTAGATATGCATTTTTAAAAGTAAGATAGAAATTTAAAATATAAATAAGATGAATAGATTCATCTTAATGTCCAATGTGTCACTTCAATCATGTAACATGCCTTAAATTTTAGTAATAATAAAATAACTTATAATTTTGTTATCTTCTTCAAATTATCATTAGATCTATAAACTCATTTGCTTAAATTATAAAAAAAATAACATTTTAACTAAATTTTAAGGTAGATTAAAATATATTCATAATATTTATAATTTTAAATAACCTATTAAAAGCTTTCAAATTTAATATTCACGATGGATTACTTTTGAAAGATTATATTAAATTAGGTATTAAATTAGAATATTTGTGATTAAAACTTAACATACTTAACACATTTGATTCATCTGAATGGAATAATTTTTTATCGACTTTTTCTCACACGATACTTTTTTATTTGTGTGATTAAATTATTATTAAAATATATGTATATCTCTCTAACACATTCTAATATTCAATACACGCACAATATCTCTCACGACAAACATGTTTTCCAACTTCAACTATATAACTCATCAATAATATCAAACTCAAAATTTCATATATCCCAATTGTTTAGTTTAATCTTATTCTAAATAACAATACCACCAACTTATGACCAAATCCAAAATTAATTTCTACAACATTTAAACTAAATTAAAAAACAAAAATTATAATTCCAAAAACAATTTTCAAATAATATCAATAATCAAAATTTCCTAACCAATATATATATATATATATATATATATATATATATATATATATATATATATATTACAAAAAGTATTTTAAAAACATTTTTTTTGTTTTAAATACGGTGTTTTTCTTTCCAATCGATTTTTAACATTTTTTTTAAACTGACATTTTTTATTTATTTTGAATGTGTAAAAATAACCATAAGCTATGTCACTAACGTCTTATATTATTGTTTACTTTCTAATTGTTTTAAATATATATATATATATATATATATATATATATATATATATATATTTTGTTAAACGTTACTTTTACACATTTAAACATCTTTTTTTCTTTAGAAGTTTTAACTCTTGTCATGTTTTACTTAGTTAGATTTCCCTACCTTTTTATGATGTATAACATTTCCTCGTTTCTAAATAACTCAAAAAGTTTACAGTGTTTTAATTCATATTATTAATATTTTTCTATTTTGTAT